CAAAGATCACAACAATAATTATGACTGAAGTCCAAGCCCTTGAAATAGGAAGCAGACTAGAGCCCACGGTTAATGTCTGTGGTTGGCACAAATCGGGCAGGTGTGGATTTGCATACAAGTAGCTGCTTCGGGTAGGGTAGGGCAGCACCTGCAGCCACAAACACAGGTGTCGGGCATCATTTTGAAAATTTAGCTACTAAATTACAGTCTTCTGTTCTTACCTTCCAAACACTTCTCAATATTAATCTGGCCTTAGGCTCTGTCCACCTTAGAAAGAACCTGGAATTTAAAACCAGCCAAGCGGCTATGGAGCCCAAATAAAGCTAATTCCCATTGTTCTCTGCTGCGATCATGGGACCACCCTATGTCTACTGAATTAAACCCTCCCAGAGTGAGGCCTGAGAAACTGCTTCCAGGTACCCCGAACAACTAAAAAGATACAGTTAAAAAGCCTTACTTAGAATAACTCTGCCTTAGGTTGTACAAACATACACATGTTGTTACAGGGATAAAACCACCCAAGAATAAGAGACTAAAAATATATCAGCTACCTTTTGAGTTAAAATTACTACAACTTTAGGTTAAATAACTAAAAGGACCAATCATCCTTTTTATAAAATTTGCAATCAGGGAATTATATAAAATAAATATAACAAGTACCTTTTCAATCACACACACACACACACACACACACACACACACACACACACACACGAGCTCCTCCATGCCTCTGAGAAGAGTACCCTCCAAAATTATCTCCACACATGTTTCTCCACAATTGGTTCTACAAGGTTAAATGTAAATGCCTATCAACATGAAAAAAATTACTCTTTACTTCATTTCAAAATTACAAGTTACTTTTTTCACTGCTTTTTTCATTAAGTATCATTATTAAATATTGATGTTTCTGTCATATCTTTCCCCCCATTTATCTGTAGTTTTTATTGTTGATTTGTGGCCGTTTTAAACAGTCTGAGTGGTAATTCTATTTGGGAAGTAATGGTGGAAAGGTAGAAAAGTAGCAAATAATCACAAATAAATCCTAGGATTTGGGCTATAAATAAGATCAATCTTATAATAACATTTTCATTTGCCTATTATTTTTTTCTTTTTTATTTAAAATGCCTACTCTGGAGAAGAGATGGTTCCTGCCTTGTGCAGGAAGCTCTACCCATTGCCAGCTCTGGTTTCTATTCCTGTCACCAGCATGTGCCTTCTGAGGATGGATGATCTGGTGCAAAACCAAGAACAGACCAGTGTTCTTCCTTTACCTCCAGTGACTTGGTGGTCAGCGATGGCACCAACTGACACGGGACTGAAGACCAGGTTTAAGAAGGAAAGAAATTGTTAGGTTCTGAGAAGGATGTGTTAAGGTTCAGATTTCTACAGAAGAGCCTGGTTGTCAGATTTCTACAGAAGAGCCTGGTTGTGATGTCCAGCAGAAGGTTGGAAGGATACCCATCAGCATGGCAAAGAAATAGTCTCCCCATAGACATTTGCAGCCTAAGCCTGATGCTCACATCGTTTCTGCTATATAATCATCTCAACCTTTTCCTCTGGGCTGGACATGACCAACAGCAATCTCTATTCAGAATAGCTGTGATCATCCCCAGTTGACCTTCACAAAACTGGATTTGGAGGGGAATGAAGCACTGGCTTCTTCAGCACAGTAGCTACCTAGCAAATCTCGAGCTCTACAGCTAGCTACCCATGAGTTCCCCAAGTACATTGGGTCACCTTTGAGTCACTCATGTTCCTATAAGTAAACCCAATAAATTCACTGATTCAGTCTGTTCAACTATGACAGAATCATTTCTTTACATCTGCTCAAGGAAAGGCATACAACAGTAAGACTGGAACTTGAGCCATCAGCTCAAAAACGCTTGATATCAAGGTCTTAGAATCCAATAGATGATCCTTCTGATGAGTGTAGTCTCTTGAGACTTTGTTTTTTCATTGCAGTACAACTGTGCATAGATTTCAAAAATGACTTTTGGTGCAACATTAGACCCAAGCTTTTTGCGAGCTGTCTTACTATTACCACTTCCAAGCAATTGAATACACAAACAAGCATTGATGTTATGGCAGCTACCATGATTCCTGTGTGAGACAATTTTTTACATTTTATGAATGTGGACAGTTATTGGATATAATTATCAGCATCTATTATTAACTCTCAGTTCAATGCCTATACAAACTTTTATTGAGTCCTTTAAATTTTTATATCTAGATATTTGGCAATACTGACTGGCCTGCCCAAAAGTTCTATGGCTAGAGATAGGTCTCAGAATAAAAAAAAAATCTGTTTTGAGCAAGAGGGCCTGATGGACATTCAAGGACAAAAACTGTATTTAAACCCAGCACTCAGGAAGGGTCTGAGCTAGAGTGTGGACCTTTAGCACTCTCTTCCAGAAGGTCTAGAGTTCAATATTAGACTGGCTACATTAACATGCAACTTGAGTCATTATAAAAGGGACTGACTGCCTTTGGTTTCACCCTCCACAGTAGTCATCTTGACATCCTTGAACAATCATTGAACAATGGACCCTGCATTTTCATTTTGCAATAGGCTTTGAAAATTACACATCTAGGTGAAGGACGTTGTTCAAGGATTGTGACTAAGTTGAGAATAACAGCAAGGTTAGGGACAGAATCCTGGCAAACTCAACTTGGCAGTCACTGTTGGCTAAGGTAGAACTGCCCGTGAAGACTACAAAAATTAGAAAGAAACTAAATGGGAAGAGATACAACAGAGAGTGAAGGAAGAGTATTAAGAGAGGGAGATAAACCCTGGTTCTCAGAATGAGAGCTTTGTCTTTTGGAAGGTTAGAATATAAGAAGAATACTGACAGAGGTCAGTTTGAGGCAGATCAGGAAGTCAAAAAGTGGGACTGGGGGGTACAGAGAATAACTGTGGAAGGATTTTGGTTATGACAGGGACAGGGGCATGGAAGGTGATCAGAGACCAGGAAACATCGATTTTATGGTGATACAAATCAAGAGATGAGTGCAGAGGAACCAGGGAAGGCAGAAAACAAGGATGTGGAAGTGTTGGTGCTCAGTAGCCTGCTTTCTTCCACTGACACAGGAGCAGAGCTCCAGGTATGGAGACAGGAGAGGAGAGAAGACTCAATTCCAGCTGCAAAGACAGACAGACTTGCAGGAGGAAAAGTTTGGCATTGAAGCCACTGAATCCCTGAGCCTTATTTCTGACCACATCTAACGATTTCTTCCATAGTAATTATGAATCTAAGATAAAAGATAATGTCATATTCCTCTCTGATTGTTTCTAAATCTTCAGAATTATGCACAAAGTAGCCTGTCTCTCGATTGTTTTTACTCTATTATAGATCTAGAAATTAGAAAAGTAAAAAGCAGAAGGAATTTGATTTTTCTGCTTGGGGCAGAATGGAGGATCCCAGTAAGTTTTGCTGTTCATTCTTTAATTGTATTCATCTTGAAATCTGTGTCACTTCTCTGCAAACCTAGAAAGCTCCAAGAATTTTTATACACATCATTGCATTGAATCTTCACAAGACTTCTGTATCACTCTCAGAATCATATAGAGAAGGAAACTGTAACACCAAGGGTTAAGGGTTAATTTTCAGAAGCCCTACATGATGGTACATATCCACAACCCCAGCATTTAGATTTATAAACTACTCTAAGGGGCACATATTGGGGAGTGTGTGTGCTGTGTGTTTTATACATGTTCATGCAATATACATGTGCAGATAATGTCAGGAATCTTTGTCATCATTCACATTTTTTTTAAAGACAGGGTCTCTCACTGACTCTGGAGTTCACTGTTTCTGTGAGGTTGGCCGATCAGTGAGTCCCCAAGAGTCACCAGGATCTACATCACCACAGGGCTGGTGTTATAGATGCTCATGGCTTACACTGTCTTAGCTTGCTTTCTAGTGCTGTGATAAAGACTATGACAAAAGCAGTTCAGGAAGGATGATTTTGTTCATCTTACAATTACCACGTTACAGTTGGTCACTGAGAGGAATCAGAGCAGGAACTGGGGCTAGAAATTCAAGACAGGAGCTGAAACAGACGCTGCGGAAGGGTGGTGTTTACTGGCGTGTTCTCCATGGCTCCCTCAGCTTGCCTGCTTATATATATAAAACCCAGGACCATCTGCCCAGGGGCGGCACCTTCCACAGTAGGCTTAGCCCTCCCACATCAACCATTAATCAAGAAAATTCCCTGCAGAGTGCCTACAGGAGGTTCCTCTTCCCTGATAACCGTTGCTGTGTCAAGTTGACAAAAAACCTAACCAGGACGCACACAAAGCCTTTGACATGGGCGCTAGAGATCCAAACTGTGGCCCTTAGGTCCTCAAGTTTGCACACACTTTACTCTGCTCGCCCCTTCACTTCTCCTCATGGAGTGTAGCGGCATCTCGCCTTGCCAGTGAACTTGCGTAGTAGGGGCCACACCCTTTGGGCATGGTTTCAGGTGTGGACACCACCCCTTTAAGGTAGAGAAGTAGCATGAGCACACTCTTGGGTGGCGGAGAGCATTGGAAAGGCAGAGACTGCATCTTCTGCCATGGTGGTTATTTACTCTTATCTGTATAAGTTGCTCCCCAATAAAACACCTATTTATATTTTATCTTGGGTCTGGTGAACTCATTTAAACCCCACCTTCATTATAGAGGACCAAGTTGATTCACCCAAAGTCACCCAACTAGTAAATGAATTCAGTTTTGTTAACTTTATTTTGGGGGGGGTTTCGAGACAGGGTTTCTCTGTATTGTCTTGGAGTCTGTCCTGGAACTCACTTTGTAGACCAGGCTGGCCTCGAACTCACAGAGATCCACCTGCCTCTGCCTCCCAAGTGCTGGGATTAAAGGCATGTGCCACCAATGCCCCGCCAGTTTTGTTAACTTAAAAACTCATGCTGCCTTCAGAAAATCAGCTGTCTGAGGAGGCACAGCCTGCAGATGGAGCTTGTTAAAAGGGCAGTGGGTTTAGGTGAGTGGATTCGGAAGCTTCCCTCAAAGAGGGTAAAATGTAGACTTAAAAAAAAAGACAGAAGATTTGGATTCACACAACAGTTGTTCTGTGTGAATCTGTCCAAGTTTGGAAATTGCCCATGGGCTTGTCCAGGTGGCAGCTGTGGAGCTCAAAGGATGAAAGTGAAAGCAAGACCAGCTTCTCTCATTTTTATGAAAGGATAAGTGGAGGTCAGAGCAAGGACAGGCATCTCAGCCTAAAGCTGAAGCAATCCAAGGGAGCCAGAGGCAAAAAGCCACAAACACTAGGGAGCCTTGGGAACTGAAGCTACAGGAGAATCTGACCCTAGGATGGAGCAAAACATGGAAGGACTGATCAAAAAAGTAAGTTAATAATCTTTTTTTTTTTTTTTTTTGGTTTTTTTTTCGGGACAGGGTTTCTCTGTATTGTTTCGGAGGCTGTCCTGGAATTTGCTCTGTGGACCAGGCTGGCCTCGAACTCACAGAGATTCGCCTGCCTCTGCCTCCCAAGTGCTGAGTGCTGGGATTAAAGGCGTGCGCCACCAACACCCAGCAAGTTAATAATCTTAAACCTGTGTGAGCCAAATTCTTTTTAAAAGACAATTGGCTCATATCTCCATAGAGCCTAGTTGCTCCAAAATGTTGTATGAACCACGGGGACAGAATGCAGCACTACTATGTGGCACAAGTCAATAGTAACTCAAGGGACTATCCTTCAAGGTTTCTTTTTGACTTAACTAAGCAGTGACAGCAGCTGTGAGTTCCAGGACGATGTACTCCAGACAGCATCTTCTACACAAGCTTTCTTCCAGTACGCCCGATGCCTCACAATGACTCATTCCTATCTCCATGGCCATATCGAGAGCCCTGAATGTCTCCCTGTGGCTTCAAGGCAGAGTTCTCATCGCCTTCTCCTTGTAGCTCATGCTGACCTCCCCTTCCTGGAAGCTTGCTGATTCAATTCCACAGGTTTCTCAAAGTGAGAAGTAACTTAGACATCAGCTATGGCCTCCATTCTTGCTGGAGCAAAGAAAGGATGCTAAGTTTATATATGAAACCATATGTTGAGTATGTGCATGGATGCATATACACACATACATTCTCACACTTCTCACACTTGCGATCGGCAGCTTATCTGCAGTTGATTCCCCAAGGGGATAACTCGAATTGGAAGATTCATCATGAGACACGACATGAGCAGTGAGCATTGCCAGAAGCATTAAAATGAATGAGATGGCTCTGCTCCTGGCATAAGGCCACTCTTCTTGGGCTGCACCACTCTCGAAGGCCTGCTGGTTCATCAGCAACCCTCCAAGGACAGCTGCCATTTGGTGGGTGAATGCATTCCTGCTTGGCATGTGTCCTCACGTTGTTGAATATCTGAAGTCTGTCATTTAGCAAAGCAGACACAGAAGGAGTCTATTCCCAGGGCCTGACTGAAGACATGGCTGACTAGACAGAATTCTCCTCGAGCAACTTTATCTTATGCTATTCACAGTATTTAATCCGGCATATTTTTCCGTTCATGCAATTTACCTTCCCCAAGAGGGTGTTTACAATATCTTAAATGTTTGGAGTAGTACGCCACTTTGGAAAATAATTTGTCAGTTCTTAAAAAGTTAAACATAAACCTGCCAGCCTCGATCTGCCATCCCTCTACTATGTGTTTATGCAAGAGAAGTAAAAGCTTATGTCCACACAAAGACTTATACAAGAGTGCCCGCAGCAGCTTTGTTTATGACAGCAAGCATCTAAAAAGAAACCAAAATGTCCATCAACACAGAAACGAATAAGCACATTGTGGTACATGCACAGGATGGAATATTATTTGGCAACAAAAAGGGATGGATTATTGATCCAAAGAAACAATATCCAAGAATCACAGAATAATTATGCTGAGATAAAGAAGTCCGGCTCCTCAACAAACACTACCCCTCCCAGCAAAAATAAATTCATGTTGCCTGGTTTAATGTATGTAAAATATTAGAAATAATGAGCTGATCTCTAATGATGGAATGAAAGTGTGACTACAGAAACACACACACATTGTGTGATAACTCATTTAATTGTGCCAGGAAATCACAATGGATGCATATCTTGCATAATCTGCTCAATTCTTCCTCAGCCCTCAGATGGATTAGAACATGCTATTATCCTTGTTCAGCTCACGTTTAATCAGTCATTCAGAAAGACTTTATGAGTGTAGCTTCTGACATTCCTAGGAGACACAATCTCATAGCAAATTCCCTGATCTGATTCTCTGGTTCTTACAATCTTTCTGCCTCTTCTTTCAAAATGATCACTGAGCCTTCTCTGTAGAGGTTGTTTTGTAGATGCATCAGCTGGGAGTGGGCACCACAACTCTGCATTTTGATCGGTTGTGTTTTCTGTAATGATCCCCATCTATTACAAAGAGATGTTTCCTTCATCCACTTACTATACTTATATGTGAGGACAAGGACAAAGATTTACAATGTACTTAGGAATATATATATATATATATATATACATATATGTATATATATATAGAGAGAGAGAGAGAATAAAAAACGAGTTTGAAAAAGAGCAAAGAAGGGAATAAAGGAAAAGGAGAAATGATGTAATTATAATATCAAAACTTTTAAAAAGTGCTACTATCAAATAGGAAAATGTTGAGGGTTTTGTGGCGATTTCTTCTTCTACTAATATTTTTGTTCCTCTGGTGGGCTTCTGAACACTAACACAGACCAAACATTTCAACAAAGAGTAAATTGAAGATGACATTGAAACAGGATGATTCGAGGATAATTTTGGGCAGCCTCAGCTTGGAAAGAAGAGAGGGCTATGTAGGGAGAGGTAATGTACCCAAGAGCACAAGAACCCACTCTGTACCGTCTTTTATCCCTGATTCTCCCATGGGGGCATGGTCAGTGCTGCGGGTACATGATCTCGCCCTACAATGTTATATGCATGTAAGGAAATTGGAACACAGTAATACAGGAGAACATGAAATGGTGAGGGCCTTGAAGTACCATGAAACAGATGGTTCTTATCCTAGCGTGTTACTGGGATGGTCTTGATGTATGAATAGGGGACATGGAGGAGGAGGATCTGCGGAGGGTTTCAGAATAATCTCACAGGAAACTGAGAAGAGGATGACGCCGCCTTGCTGAGACAGAAAGACACAGAGAGATGCTCCTGGGCTTACCTAGCATGTGTCGTACAGTGTGATTTGGGATGTCCCCACACACCATGCTTAGTGATATTGCAGAGGCGATGGTAATGTTATAGTGGTGGCACAATAAACATCAACTTCAGAGGGAAATCTGTGTTTACATCCATTAATTAAGAGTTCTTTCGATTGTTGCATTAAAAATTGGGTCACAGTTTTAAAACCATGAGTTGTTCAGCCATTTTCAATGGCATACCTTGATGTGTCTACCATTAACATTGATGTGTCTACCATTTACATTATTATACAAACTAACTTCCTATCTTTATAACTAACCACAAAATTGCAATCGTTTTAGCTAACATTTCTTGCTGCATATTTCCAATATATTAAGTAAGTTAATACTCATAAAAGCACAAAGGAAAATGCTGAAACAAAAGCTGTTAGGCACCTACTTAACGATGAAGCTAGATTTCTAATTTCTCACGCTAGACCTGGGTCACAGTCTCCATACCCTAATGCTGTTCATGACATCACATCATACATGTAGCATATTCTCTTGCAATTCTACCAACTAAGCGGGGCTTGTGAGATGTAATCAGAGAGAAACTTTATGGCCATTCCCCTTGACTTTGACATTTATACTGTGGGTCTCCAAGTGAAATTAGAATATTTTCATGACTTTGCCAGCCATACTTAATACTATGGGCCACTACAGCCAGTAATGTCCACATCTAATCCTGTGCAATTGCTGAAACTGAAAGTTCCTGAGGACATACTGTTTTTCCCTTTACAGGCTTAATGGTGAAGGGAAGTGTAAGTAACCTCTTCTCAGCTTTGCCATTTCCCCTGCATGCCCCACATGGCTAACAGGAGCCCAACAAAAGTGACAGTATCTCCGGTGGAAAGGAAGGTCCCATTTCACTAACAGAGTGTAGTCTGAGTTTATTCTGGCTGTAAGATGACTGTCTCAAAGAGACACTTCTGTGAGTTTTCCCACTCTTTCTCCTACCAGGGATTTCTCACGGTTCCTGTGAATAAGGCAGTCCCAGCTGGCCCCCAGCGCCTTCTTCAGCCTACTTGATGTCCATTAGGACTGTCACTCATTAGGAAATTCTCTTGAAAACGCTTAGGACAATCCTAGACCAGTTCTGATCGAACTGAGCCATATCTGATCTGGGAGAAACATTACCATGTAGCCTGCCCTGACCAACTTCAGGGAAGTAGGTCCCCAAGTCAGTTATCACTCCTTATCAGACACCTCCCATGTACTTGTGTTGTGCCCAAATTCTGAACCCCAAAATCACCAAGAGGCCCATTTTGATGCAAAAGCAAAGAGTCTATTATTGTAGTTGTTTAATCAGTTAACCCCGTTAGCTCGAGCCTTTCATCGATTCATGGAGGCAGATGGCTGGAGAAAGACCCCGAGAAATCATGAGGCAAGGATCTTATAGGGCAATGTTAGGGCAGAGTAAAGGGAGTATCTAGGGGTATAGGTGTGTAGTCTCAGGATTGGTGCATTTCCAGGCTTGGACGACCTGCCCTATGCTAATTGGTTCAATTGGTTGTTATGGCCCATAGGTCCTCACAGAATGGTTGCTATGCTCTGCACATCACTGTTGTGCACTTTCCAAAAAGCACATCCAGAGCCATAAAGCACAGCCCTGCCAGCTAACTTCTGATAGGTTCCTTGCCATGAGGAGGGCATCTGACCTCCTAGTGACCAGGACAGGAGCAGCAAGGTCATGAGAGCACATGTTAGCATGTCATGGCTGCTGAAATGGGGGGCTTGTTCCTTCTCTTGTCACAAGAGATTTGGGAGCACAAATCTCTCTAGAGGAACAGAGTTGATACACATGTGTATACATACATGGGTATATACATACACACGCACACACACACACACACACACGCACAAATATATATATATATATATATATATGATTTATTGGAGTGACTTACTGGCTGCAGTACACTAATCCAACAATGACTGTTTACCAACAGAGAATCCAAGAATCCAGTAGTTGTTCAGTGCATGAGGCTGGATGTCTCCACTGGTCTTCATACACATTGGGATCCTGAAGAAGGAATGGACTTGCCAGTGAGCGCAAGACCAAGCAGGTAAAGAGCAAAGGCTTCCTTCTTCCATGTCCTTGTGGTGGCCCAGCTTAATGGTGGATCTTCCTACCTCAAAATATCTGGAGTAAAGGTGTGTCTTCTCAAGCCAAATGATTTAATTAAGAAAAAAGTCTCTCACAGGCATGGGAAGCCAGCTGGGTTTTATTTAATTCTAGATGTAGTCAAGTTGACAATCAAGAACAGTCATCACAGCCACCAACCTAAACCTGCCATCTATGGGGGACACATTTTACCAAGCTGCTGAGAGCTGACTTGAGATGAAGAAGAAAACATCTCCTATCAATTCCTTCAATCTCACCTCTTCAAACCCTTTTGTTTATATTCCAGGGAGGGTTAAAAAATGGAAATCAGAATTTTTATTAAGAAAACCCAGCAAGGTTACTAGTATAAAAACACTATTCAAAGTCCATTGTGTTCCTAAGCACTAATGGGAAATAGAACTTTTAAATCTCATTTACCAAAGCAACAGAATTATAAAGTACCCCCAAATAAATCTCACTTAATCTTTATATGATAGCTGTGAGGAAATTAAAATATTGTTGAAGAAATTAGAAGGCCCCAATAATGTATAATTATGGTATATATATAATTAGGAAGGGAAAATATCATACAGCCAATTTCTCTAAAATATCTACAAATGCAATATTCCCCCTTTAAAGAAATTATTGTAGACAGTTTAATGTCATTTCACACTAATACAGATACATAAACAAAATTAAATGGTTGAGACCTACAAAACAGTTCACTGTGAAACAAAAGCAAAGGAAACAGGACAGGAAGGCTTGGCCTGCAGTATTGAAAGACTTTTTAAGTCAGAGGAGAGAGAAAGGAGGTGTTTGTGTAGGAATGAGCTGATAACTAATGAGCAGAATGGAGAATCAAAAATAGATCACAGAAACAAAGTGAATGTATTTGAATGTTTGGCATTAAAAATAAGTTGGAGAATGATAAGCTATTCAATAGATGGGAACAAGAGGCAAAGTGAAAATAAATTCCAGTCTCAAAACAGTTGCTTAACAAACAGTACAAAGATTAAAACTAAAAGAAAAACTTTCAAAGAAAATATTGGAAGCTACAATATTGGGGAATATGGAAGGTCCTTATTAAAAATACAAAAACCAAGAAGCAGGAAACATGGAAAACTGGAACTGTGTTAAATGTACTTTTGGAGTCTTTTTAATAGGCCCACTGGAGGGGCATCTCAACTGCCACACCCAGCACTCCCATTCCACTCTACAAAGCCAGGTATATCATTGCTCCAATTCCCTAACGTCAGTTAGTTACCTCTTCAGAGGAGGAGTGACGTAAACAGGAGATAGAAACTGGACAAGGAGCACAGGGTAAGGACCTGCACCAGTTTAGAATGGCCTTGCTTCTCTGGCTGGGAATGCCATAGGGAGCTAAAGAAATGGGCAGGATAATTGTTGCTTTAATGAGATAATGTACTTTTGCATCCCAGAATTCCTGCTCCCAGCACAGTAGCTTGCAGGGTGGCAGTCATGCAGCTTTGTAAAAAAAGATTTGCTTTTCTTTCTCTTCATCCTGCCTCTGTTATACCCAACACTGCTGGCTTCTTGCTTTCTCCTACTCCCTCTATGCTGGCCTAACTCAAACAGCATGACTTTTCTCCCACCCTACCCCCTTCCACTCTCCATCTCCTGGTACTCTTGCAATTTACAACTTGCTTGCCCTGGGGCTTTTCTTTTAAACGCTAAGAAAATTGTCTTCAATTAGAGGAGAGGAGGAAGAGGAAGAAGAGGGATAGGAATAGATCTGTCAATCAAAAGACATCGTAAGGAAATCAAAGCACACTGCAGAGTGAAATGAGAGTATTAATAGTTGCATGCACATGACAAACCGGTTCTAGATAGGTTAAATGAAGGGCTTCTCTACTCCATCATTAAGAAAAAAGGAAAATAGTAGCAACTAATAATAATAAAGAGAAAACCTTGGTGGTCAATGAACCTATAAAAAAATGTTCAGTCTCCATAATCTTTAAACTAATTCTAGAATCTAGGTGGTAAAATTTTTTCTTATATCACATCAATTTTTAAAGTGTTCATTCTCTACTCTTCTATTTTGAAATAGTTTCAGACATAAAGAAATTACAAAACCAACAAAGAATTTCTGTCTATGCTTTTGTCCATATTCTACAAAATCATCATGTAAGCACAATTCAGTGCCCAAAGCAGGGAACTAATGATATTCCACTTCTTATCTAACCTGCAGGTCTTGTTCAAATAAATCTAACTTTGCTAATTAAAACAATCTTACAGCTCTCTGGTTCATGTCATTTTTAGAACAGACCTCAAGAGAAGTTGCTGTCAGCAGGAATAAAACTTATTCCTGGGCACAGAGATAGCTCCAAACATAAATTGTGCACGGGATGGAAAATATTTCTCCTTTCTCTAAAGATATTCAGGGAGGATGAAGGACAGATAATTCAACTTTTTTTAAGTTCAAGAGAAAATGTTTCTCCTCCAGATTTTCATGCTTATTCATGTACCAAACAGGAAACCGTTATCAAAGTCACTTTTAGAAGATGCTTTATATTTTTATTATGAAAATTTTAGGTCACAAAAAAGTTCATTTGTTCTTAGAATAACAATAAGACTTTAACTCTTTAGGCATAAATGTGGACTTTGTGGCTCCAGACAAGGCGTGAACAAGTTAAGTTTCCAAAACCCCCAAAAGGCTGCAACATTCCTTCACTCTCTTGTCTGTCAACAAGCATTTGATGCTCTCCCCATTTTCTCTCAGTTTCTAAAAAGTTTTCTCTGTTGATACAACTATTGTCCAGGAACCTAATCAGGAGAGAAAATAGAGTTTGGAGTGTTCTCCTTCATAGTTTGGCTAAGGAGTAAACACTTTCTGTCTCCAGTGTTTCAAGTGCCTGAAGACTAGATTGGGGCTAGGTAGGTTGTTGACCAATCCTTTAGTAAGTTGACTTTATTGAATGCTGTGACCAGACCTCAGAGAAGACACAGCACAGGGGACCTAGGCTGATTGATACAGGGGAGATAATAGCCAAGCATAGAGCTTAGGGGGGCCTCAGTGCTCAGTTATAGCCCTGTGAGCTCAAGAGGCAAACTCAGTGCTCACGTGTACAGACAGCAGTTGCCTTCTAGGCTGTTCTCAAGATTTGTTGATAACCCTTTCACCTCTCTCTTTCTCTCTCCCTCCCTCCCTCTCTGTCTCTGCCCCCCCTCTCTCACACACAAACACACACACACACAAGTATACACACACGAGAACACAAGGCACATGCACGTACGCACACATTCACATACCCTCTCTCTCTCACACACACATGTGCATGCATGTACACACAGGCACATAGGCACATGCATGTACACTAACATTCTCCACCACCACCCCCCCACACACACATGCACTTGCATGCCCTACCTCACCAGCAAGAACCCAATGTCAGAAGACCAGCCTTGGAAGCAAGAAAGGAAGCCAGCTGCAACAGGTTTGCTGGCGTCTGACTTGAGCAGACGAGGCAACCTGAGCCAAAGGAGCACAAGTTGAAGCCTGTGTTGTAACACTAGCAGAATCTCAGCGACAGCCTACAGCTCAGGGTAAGAGATTCACCTGTGTCTTCTGGGGAGGGTGGACAGAAAGCAGGAGTGCCTTGCAAAATGCTAAAATAGTTCAATGAGGAGGACCTGTGAAGGCCACAAAGCCGACCTCCAGTTCATCCAGGTGCCACTAACTCATGTTCATTGCTTCTATGCTGCTTACCAGACCTCAAAATAACTGCCTGACCGAAGTTCCTGGTGAAGTGGAGATGGAGAGCCCATGTGCTGCCTCTACAGAAGTCATACCTGCTCTGCATGCTGTCATTGCAGAATGGTAGTGATGGGGAGGGACTTTGGGGTATCAGTGAGGCCGATAACTAGCCTCCAGGGACCATAGTTTATATTGAAAAAAATGCCCTAAGTTTGCAAAATGGCTCACATCAGAGGCCTTCAAATCTGGGGGGTGGGGATACAACAAAGATTAGGGTTTGGTGGAAACGCAGAAGGGGTGAGAGGGTGGTAATTTATCAGTCTGGAAATCTGGGACCCTGCCAGACTCAGTGGCTGTCAAATCAAGAGTGTGTCCCAGTTAGAATACTTATGATTCAGAGGCGCCTTCTCTGAGTTCAACTCACAAAAACCCATGGAGACAAGAAGCAGAAAAGGGAATTTTGTGCTGAGATTTGGAAAAGAAAATTTGACACTTCCAGCACTTGTTTACAATGGATTTAGAAATTAGGGACATTTGAGAAGATTGCTAAAACTGAAGAAAATGTAACTAGAAATATAATAACCACCAGTGTGACACATAGACATCGGGCTAATAGGGTAATCATAACAGTTGCTGTCTTCTGCAGTTCTCATAACAGCCACATGAGATAGCAACTGTTATTATGTCCATTTTCTATGTAGGGAAACTGGTGCTTGGAGATGTCAAAATACTCCCTCAAACAGATTCATTTCCAGTGTCCAGTTAGTCGGGCTTCTGTCACCCTTCCCTGTGTTATTGCTAAATTTCTTAGGCTTGTGTCTCTTTCAAGAGGCTTTCCTCTTCTTTGTCTCACCGCCCCATTCTTTAGGTCAGACACTCCCGCCCTGCTATTGCAGGTCTTCTTTGATAGTGCATTGCACCATCCACCACCTTCATTATGCCCTAAGCCATCTGGGTGCTGAAGTCATGTGGTATTAGCCCATCATCTTCTGTCTCAAACCCTCTGCAATTGCAGGTACCTATTAGAGAGAAAAGACACTAACGAATGGCTCCAGAAGTAACTAGTTGGGTGAATGCTTGCCCACTGTTCCCCCAAGGCCTGGATTTGATACCCAGCATCATCACATAAATAGGTGGTAGTTTATGTCTGTAATTCCAGTACTCAGGATGATCAAATTCATAGTCATCCTCAACTGAATAAGAAATTTGAGACCAGCCAGAGCAACAAGAGACCCTGTCAACAGAAGGAGGGGACTATCAATGGAGACATTTTACAACCAGCTAATTTATCTGGAGACCATAACCTACTAGTCTTGATGAGAAAAGTTTTAAGCTTTAGTGTTTACAACTGATGAAGCACTCTACCACTGAGCTACATCCTCGACTTACACTATTAGGAGAAATGAATGAACAAATATGTAATGAGTGGCCCATATATAATGGAATATACATCTTATAAATCATTTATTTGCCAACCTATACTTAATGAACCACAGCTTACCCACAGTTAATGGCCACATCTACTTTCCCTAAGAGGAAGCAACGCTTTGAAAAACGAAGATTGATTGAGCTGCAGTTTCTCCAGAGATACCTATTTATCATCATCAATGACCCTGGAACTATAAGCATTTCAAAATCATTTACAGGAATGAAATTCATTATTCACAAAACTAATGGCAGGTGTGTCAAGGATGTGAGGTCTTGCTATTCAGCATTTCCCCTCTCCCGCCTGCCTGTTGCTCAATCTAGTCTGTATCTTCAGGATCTTAGGTAAGGATTTCTCACAGCAAATTAACATAGAAAACTCTCCACGAAGGCTTCAGAGAACGTATGGTAGTCCCTGGCCACCAAACTCTTTCAAATTTCAAATAAAAGATCAAAACAAAGTTTATTTTACCTTGCTTAAAAGAATTTCTTCAGAGGCAACATTAGTGAAATGGGTAGATGTTCTCACATGAGTAACTCAAGTATAAAGTGCCCCTTTGGAGAGATGTCATCTATGCATATTTTTAATGTGACTATTTATATATCTTTGTGATATATATATGCATATATACATATATATGTGCCTCTATGAGCAGGCTAAAGCAGGTGTCAGTCCAGTGAGCTGTAAGTTGTAAGTAGTCTTACCCCTCCCACTGATCTACTTTGGTTGAGATTTTTTTAAGAGTTAGCTTCTTATGTACCTCATATGCTGCTTTCTGTGTAGTTCCTTCCCTACCTAACAAGTCATTTCATCTATATTGTGCCTGCAAATATATATCAAATTTGATATCAAGGCAGCTGGGGAAATGGCTCAGATCTTCCTGCACAAGAATGAAGACTCAAGTGTGGATGCCCAGAACCCACATAAGGATATTTCTGGGTGTGGTGGCAGTATCTATAACTCCAGTACCACAGGTAGTAGAAAGTGTGTCATGGAGACAGATGATCCTATTGTCTTGTTAGTTCAATGAGATACCCTGTATTAAAAGATAAGTTGGAAAGCAATTAAGGAAAACACACAAGATCAACTTTGGGCTTCTACACTCACACATGTAAGTCCTCCTACACACACACAGGTGCAAAGATAGACACATACATGCACACACGCAGGTTTGGGCCACTAAAATGAGTGTGCATGACTCTCATATCTGACTCTGTCTAAGGGAGCATATAAAAAGGAAGTCTGACTTTGTTCGTCATTAAATAGTCCACATGAAATATTATCTCCCTGTTACAGACAGAAACCATGCCCTTCAAAAAATTGAGAATAACACAGGGAAAACTGTGTAAGAACAGTTAATCCTGGGGAAAATGCCTCCCTCAGAATGCTTCGGGGTCAAAGCTTCCTCACTCATTCTCTGCCAGCTGTCAGTCTAATTGTGAGTAGTAGATTGGTAGAGTGTATTGAAGGTCACTACACAGCTCTGTAGTTCAAGACTGCTCTCATCTTTGCATGGTCTAAACTTTAAAAGCAAATAAAACCAGTGGGTATCTGTGTTTTTTTTTAAGAAAAGAAAATAACAAAACACACTTTAAAAAGCAATCCTCACACCCCATGTATCTCAGGAAAGGGGCGTGAGCAATGTAGCACGAGGAGAGTTAGCTCAGTGGAACTCTGTGGGTATAAGTTGTAACAAAAGAATTTTCCCATCAGCAGGAAGATATTCATCATGTTATATAAGTGGTATTATAAAACAGATAAAACACATAGTCCAAAAAGCAATAAGCAAGTCTTCTGGAACTATGTTGATGCTGCAAAACTCCAGATTATAAATCATGTTTACACAAGACTAAGCTTAAAAGAAATTAAACTGTTCTAAGTAAGGAAACATATTAAACTGTGTGTTCCATCACAGGACTAACAGGAATGTAGATCTTTGGATTATGGATTTGGCTACCCATGAATACATCAAGTGATTAGAAAATCATCCTCCTTTGTGCAAACTCTTATGAACAGCATCCAGAGTTTAATTCCACGAGTCAGAGTCACTGCTTATATTTCTGCCCTAGAGATAAACTGCCCTTTGCACTATGCTGATGGATAGAAACTGCCTGGCCAAGGCTCCCAGGGCCAAGCAACTAGTACAATGGTCATGAGATATTCAGGAAGCAGTAGTGAGGACCACGACCTTGGCATAAGGAGCAGCTTAGCCTTGTTGCTAAGAGGAAATCGAGGGCCTGATCCTATGAGAGGAGCTAGAACTGTAGGACTTTACTGTAAAAATATTACATTTTTTAACACACTGAACTGACTCAAACATATTAAATACTGCATACAGAAAGTCATCAGAGCACATCTCCTAGGTAGAGCTGGAGTGTTCGTGGGGGATGACTTCTGTATACATGTTTCTCTTATTGGTTGATGAATAAAACACTGATTGGTCAGTAGCCAGGAAGAAAGGATAAGCGGGGCTACCATACATGGAGAAGGCTTGGGAAAGAGGTAGAGAGAGGCCACCAAGAGACACCATGCTGCCTAAAGAGTAACATGTCAGATTATGGGTAAACCACAGTCTCGTGGCAATACATAGATTAATAGAAATAGGTTAATAATTAAGACAGAGCTAGCCAATAAGATGCCTGATCCATCAGCCAAACATTTTATACTTAATATAAGTTATTGTGGATTTATTTGGGACAAACAAGCTGTGGAACTAGGCAGGACAGAAGCCTCTATCTACAGACTGTGTCCTATCAACAAGGGATCCTTTCTTTGACCTCTAAAACATGATCGTGACATAATCAATGCACCTCTTTTGGTATAGGAGATAAGAGTAAATAACCATCATTTTCCCTGAGGAGGCAACTCTGCTATCTTAGGGTCTCCTAACCAGGGGTTATATAATAGGGTGAATAGTATCCCTTGCCTTGCAAATCTATATGTCTAAATTCTAGTTCCTGGAGCCTGTCAATGGAACTTTATTTTGAAAATGATGGAAATGTGATTGAATCAAAGACCTTTGTATGAGATCACCCTGGATTACATTTAACAACCTCTTAGAGGGCACACAGAGAATGGACTGAAGAATATGGGAACCTTTGGAGACTGGGCAGAGTATGGTTATGGGGTCTCAAGCCATAGTACACCAAAAGCCCTAGAAGCTAGACAAAGTAAAGGACAAAATTCCTCCTGGAAACTTCAGAGGGAATGTAGACCTGAGGATACGGTCACTTAGTCCTTCTGGTTCTCAAAACTATGATAACAAAACTGCATCTCTATTGTTGTGAGCCAGCAAACTTGAGGTAACATTTTATGGCTGTAATCGGTAGCATCACGCCACTTCATGGGGTTACGATAAGCAAACTCCTGCCACCTGATACACAAGTGCACCTCTGAGGATGGGTACTGTA